ACAAATATCCATCCATCCTGTTGGTTTTGAAACTTGGGAGAGTACAGATGGAAATTTACATCAGCCCTTGACAAGAAATACGTTGTAATTTTGAAGAGTCAGACAGAGTTTCAGTATTATAAAGATTCCACTTAAACTCTTGCGTAAGTATTTCTATTTAACTTGGATCCAGACATGGGGTGTTTTTTTGTACATGTGCTGCATTTGGGCAGAGTTTACCGAACTGGCAGCGTTTGTGTTTAGCATTTCTTCCTGTTCAAGCCACGTCTTCTGACAGTAGGTCCTTCTTTCTGAACGTCAGGGTGTCAGGCCTCACACAGCCAGAGTTTACCTTTCTCAACCAAGACATTCAGCGGCAAACTTTTGCTTGTGCCGTTTTCATCCACATACGGTATTTTCAGTTGCTCAGGGAGTCCCAAATGAGGCACATTACCTGCAGTGTGAGGGAGTGTCAGTTACGGCACTACGGCCATGTGGCGCGATTCCCTGAGGGTGATCCGGCTCGCAGGATCCTCATTGTTGAGGACCTGAGCAGCTGGACCAGGCCGAGGGGACGCCCACGTAACACCTGGCTGTGCAGACAGACGGCCATTTCCGGAGGGTGGGACTGGACTGCGTATCGGCCTGGGGGGGTCACCAACTGGGATCCCAAGGTGTTTTGTCATGTGGTGGGTGCAGCAACACGCTGTACCAGTGCATGACCCCAACATGACCTGACAGTATTATCCAAGTGGTTTTATATTATTTTTTCAATGGCATGGAAGAATGAGCATTTGAAAAATTCACAATATTTTTTTCTAAGCACAAATCAACAAATAAGCTATGTGGAATAATACAAATTAGGAAGTGCATAACCATAAAGTATATTTCTAATGCATTAATCTTCAGCATACCATGATAATTATCAGGATGAGCACCTTTTCAGGCAGCTAAAACTTGTATATAACCAAGGAGTGCTAGTGGTGCATGCTGGACAGAAGCTGGTTTTCTGGGAACAGTGGGACCGGACCAGTGACCTCCCAGCCGAGGGGCATCTTCTCCTCTACAGCTGACTACTGTTTCTCAGCAGCTCATAATTCTGAAAAACAGGGAGTGGCGATTAGGCACAGAGCATCCACCAAATGACTTGACAAAGTCAAACAAGGCAGGTCTGCTACTCTGGAAGGCCTAACCCAGCTCCTGCACTTTTCTGAGTATATTAGTTGCATGTGCCTGTTAAGGTCATCCTGATGGTTGTTAGAAGGTCTAATTCCAGATTAAAAAAAATGTATTTCCATGGAAAAGGAAGAGACCATGAATAGCAGTTGCTTGCAATAATTTTAAACTGTAAATAACGCAGTATGAAGGGTGGAATGTAAAGAATCCTTAAAATAATATAGCTGGTCAGTGATGGAATTTTTTTAGCAGAAAAGGATATTTGTAGGTTCTTGGCAGTACATCCTGAAGTGAGAATCCAGATGATCAGAGGAGGAAGCAGGGCTCTGAGTTGCCCAGAAGCAAACTTGGATGCATTTTCCTTTGTTATTTATTGGATATATCTTAAAAATTATGAAATGAAAGTGTGCAGGCATTCATCTTATATATTTGTTCTTTATATAAAGCACTGAAAGCTGTACTTCTTGTGTTGTTTTTTATTTATTATTTGTGATGCTCGATATAGTTACATCACTGATTTTCCAAGAACCCGTGAAAAAAGAATTTCACAGATTTTGCTTTAAAATACAATATTTTCCATGGGTCAGAACAAGTTTGCCAGTCCGTATAAAGATGCAGGGCAGCGGATTGGGTCTCTGCATTTCATATGAGAAAGGCAAGAAGCTCAGGTATTCCCTTTGCGAGTTTAAAAGGTGTTTAACACTGGCTACATGCAGCCATTTTCATTTGGATGTAATATGTCACTGTTTCTCCATCAGTCGTTACTGTATGTTGGCAGTTTTAGAACCGTATATGTTATGTTATTACATAAATTACTGGAAGCACGATGTTTATATCTTTCCATTCCTAAATTAATGTAAAGTTTTGAATACAGATAAACCCCACTTGCCTGACTATATAAACAGCAACCAGCTGGACTAATATGAAAGAGATGATTTTTTTTTTTATTCTAAGACATAAAACTGCATTTAGTCATTCGGTCCACGCATGAAGCTTTTCAGTGCTGTGTTGTTAAAGATAAAGCTGCGGGTATAGAAATGATAGAAAGTCCACAATTCAAATAGCTTTTTAAAATTTATATTCTAGCACACCGTGGAAGATTTGGCACAGCCGAGGCTGTATGGGTATCGGCTGAGGGAAAATATGAAAACACAAAACAGAAGAGTCAGATTTATTGTGTGGGGGGAACGTCAGAAGAGTCCAGCATTTTCAGCGAATGTTTGCATCACCATAGCAACGCGGATCGCAATCTTATAATATTGCATGATTCTTTATGTTGTGACATGAGTGCTTTCTTGCACATTATTTAAGACAATCAGCACATCACCCATCCTTGTCAGCATACGGGAGCGACCGGGTTGGGGAGGCAGCAGTGGAGGGGCCCTGGGCACCTGTGTGACTGATAAGGCCCCCAGCAGTGAAGGTCAAGCCCAGCATGAAACAGCAAGTCTGCGGCACGACACACAAACTGTCAATCCCAGCTGCTAAGAATTATTATTGCCATTTTTTATTATTATTATTATTATTATTATTATTTGTTTATTTTTTTCCCATGTAGACAAAGCAGACTCGGCTGAAAGGGATTTCATTTCTGCATGTGCACCGTAGCATTGGCTGTCTGATGTGGGGCTGAATTATTTATCGTCTGTGCTCCAGCGACATCAGAAGGAGACAAACGCCAGCACGGATTTCGATGTCATATTAGATGCCAAAGTAATAAAGAGGTTTCTCTCTTTACCTGTCACCGCTGCAGGTGCTTTGGAACGCAGTGGTGACTTTAAGGTGTCATGAACGCTGACACGGGTGACAGCATAGCATTGAATGCTTAGCAGTTGGCTGGATTAGTGTATTGTTTCATTCTTTTCTTTCCATGCTATTTATGTTCAAAAATGTTTCATGTTAGGATCTGTATGCTAATAATGAGTTTCCTTAGAGAACATATATATTAGCCACAATATGTGGAGTTTGGAAGAAGCACCAACGCTCAGTGCTGCCTCACACCTCCTAGGCTAGGGGTTTGCATCCCGTCTCTTCTCGTTCTCTGTGGAGTTTGTATGTTCTTCTGGTGTTACGCAGGTTCCCTCTGGGTGCTTGGGCTTCCTCCAGCAGTTGGCTAATTGGTGTCTCTAGATTTTGAGTGCGTGCCCAGCAATAGTCAGGGGTCACATTCAGGGCGCACCTCTTCCCCGTGCCCTGCCCCACCTGGGATAGAATCCAGACCCGGGACTTTGACCACGGTAAGAGGTTAGTAGATAGATTGAATATGTGAGCTCAGTATAAAAATGGCAGGATGGTTAGGCCCATGAACTTAACAGTGGTAACAGCATATTTCTGGAGTGGCTGCTGAGCCTTCGGTCATAAGCCCATTTGGAATTGTTAAAGAATCTAGAATGACAGCATATAACAATTTGGAATTTGGAATTGTCCTATTTGACACTTTATCATATTCATGTTGCTCATGTTGATTGGTACTTCCTTGCAGGCAGTGTTACAAAGTGTAACTCAACTAAAAAAAAAAGCAAGACGAAGTCATATTCAATGCCACTGATGCTTCTAGCTCAAAAATGAACAGAAATAAATGTTTTCTCCGGTTCAGTGTTCAGTCATGTTAATACTACAGGAGTCACTGTGCACTAATTATCCAGTGAGGTCATTTGAAAAGTCTTCTTGGTTGCATGTTGATGCTATTTTCACCAGAGGAGAAATGTGACAAAGGTGCCACTGACAGCAGCCTCTGCTGAAACACTTCCAGGTATTGAGCAAGGCTGAAATCTTGACCATAAACTGACGTGGCACCTTAACGCAAAAAAACGTAGTTATTTTGTTTTTGAGTTCACTTGCTTTTCTGGCAGAAAGAAAGATATTTTTGACAGCCTACTGGAAACAAAACAACTCACAGCAGGTGGGTACAGTGTAGAATGGCAGACAATTGGTTGTACAAGATGAAAATGAATTAAAATAAGTCCCATTACAAAAATGTTGCTGCAAGCTTCTGAACATCTGTCAATGTGATGTGCAATAGGTGGTAGAGTTGAGATAATGTTAACATTATATATAGAGTTTATAAGATTTTCTTCTCTTGTTAATAGATGTTTTTAACAAGGTATTAAATAATATTTATTATTAAGCTTAATCTTGGTTTTAATACCATTGTTAGTGTAAGAGAATAGAAAAAAAATCTTTCAACCTAAAAGGACCCTGTTGTGGTTCCCCTGAATTGCTGCAATGAAATATCCAATCGTCCCAGTGAAATATCCAGCAGTTCCAGTGAAATATCTAGCTGTCCTGGTGAAATATCTAGCTGTCCTGGTGAAATATACAGCTGTTTCAGTGAAATATCTATCTGTCCCAGTGAAATATCTAGCTGTCCTGGTGAAATATCTAGCTGTCCTGGTGAAATATACAGCTATTCCAGTGAAATATCTAGCTGTCCCAGTGAAATATCCAGCTTTCCCGGGTGCTTGTGCATTGTGTTGGACCTGCTAGTCATAAGAACAAAGGCACACCAATTTGTAACAAAGGGATTTTCAGATCTAATTTCAGCAACTTAATGCCAGGTTATAACAGTTACCTTAAGTCTTTGCCTGTTACTTGTCATTATTTGTACCTGGATGGTTCAGAGCCTGAATTAGTATTAATAAAAATGAACTAGGATACAAAACTGGAACAGTTTTAAAGAAAAAAGAAACTCGCTGATATTTACAATTTACTTTTACTAACAGAAGTTGAACAGTGTGTTTGGTGTGGATGTCTAGCAAAATTGCAGAAACCCTGTCATGGTGAAAACTGAGATTTATTTTGAATATCTGATATCCTTCCATCTATTATCCTTCCTTTTTCTCTAGGACAGGGTTGCAGCGAGTCTATTCCAGGAAGCACAAGGCAGGGGGCATCCTGGAAGGCGTGCCAGTCTACCACAGGGCACACACTGGCACAGCAAAGCTGATTCAGAGACAGGGATGCGCAAACAGGAGGAGAACATGCAAGGTCTGCACACAGAGAGGCAGGAAGTGAAACCCTACAGCCCCATAGCCCCAAAGCTCCATAGCCCCACAACCCCATAGTCCCATAGCCCCACAGCCCCAAAGCCCCATAGCCCCATAGTCCCATAGCCCCACAGCCCCATAACCCCAAAGCCCCAATGCCCCACAACCCCATAGCCCCACAGCCCCACAGCCCCATAGCCCCAAAGCCCCACAGCCCCATAGCCCCACAGCCCCACAGCCCCATAGCCCCAAAGCCCCACAGCCCCATAGCCCCACAGGCCCATAGCCCCATAGCCCCCGACATGTGATGCTACACAGATGACTATTTGCCACCCACATAGCAAGATTTTTATATTAAAAAGTAGGTGCAAAGTCCTTTTGGCCATTGCAAAAAGATGGCCAGATTTAAACCTGAGGAAAACTCTCCCCCTCCATACACAGAAGCCAACTTAGGCCTTTAGCTCTGTGAAGTGGCATTTTCTCACTGTAAGTGTTTTAACACAGGCCAGTGTCATTTAAAAGCNCCCCCCGCACGCCCATAAATAGTCAGGATGGACAGGAGTGTTTGTGCACAAGACATGTTTTCACTTCCCCCTAATCCCCCCTTCAAATGCGATATGCATTTATTCAGAATTACCATATCTTGTAGCATGATGTCATTATTTAAGGTGCTGGTGATCGCAAAGTGGCAAGCCCCATTTTACTATTTTTATGTTAGTCTCCTGTCGTGCTGTATCTGCTGAAACACTGTTTCTTAACAGGAATATGGAAACGGACATGTAGAAACTCATCAAATGCCCACACCATACATAAGAAATTTACAAACAAGAGGAGGTCATTCAGCCCATCAAGCTTGTTTGGGGAGAGCTTAACTAATAGCTCAGAGCTCTTAACTAGCTCTGATTTACAGATGTATAGCGTTAAAAAAATATGTTAACATTCCTCAAATATAGTACGAAGAGGACAAAACATCAGAGGAGAGATACCTGCAAAAAGAGCTTATCCACGCAGATGCAGCTTTTAGATAATGAGTATCTCTGCCCTGGACATTAATAAGAATGAATTTAAGATTAAGATAAACATTATTGATCCCAGGGGCAAATTCTTGTGCATACAGCAGTGAGTCAACAAGTAAACATGCCGCCAAAAATTGTAATAAATTTGCACTTATTGAAGCGAGTTCACACAGCTACCCCATCGTCAGTAAATCCAGCACTTTCTGTCCGGCATTCTAAGCTGGTGTGTGGTATCTTCCAGGCGGTAGTGAGAAACCTATGTCTTTGTAGCCTTCTGTGATTATGGAGGGCACTGTAACACTGAGCTGTAACACTGAGCTGTAACACTGAGCTGTAACACTGAGCTCCAGCTGAATCGGCCATGGGAGGAGGATGGAGAGAATGCAATCTCGACTTCTTGCCGCGTGCCGTACGGCTCGCAAGAAGCAGATTGTTATCACGCTGTTTTACGGGCACCAGTCTACAGGAATTCCCAGGCTTTCACTTGTTACTGTGAGTGAGAGCTGAAGGAGATGGGATATTGCCGTTGGTGTTTCAGAAGATCAGGAGGCCAACTCATTGGTTAGGGGGCGGCAGCAGCTGAGACAAATTAGCATTGGCATCAAACCCCGAAGCGTTGATAAACCATAAATTAATGATTCAGCGTTTATTTATGCGCCTGCTGTCAGTTTGTATGACCTCCTCAATGCAGGGAGACTTTACACTGAGCTAAGTATCAGTGGGCTAACAGGCAGCCTTCTGCAGGAGCTAATGTTGGTTCGCTAATGGCGGTCAAACCGTTCTCCGTTTAGCTCCGGGCAAATCCCATAGCAGCTCACAAAAGCACCATTCCAGTTGACTCAGGGTTCCATTCCACCCAAGACTACAGGGAGGTCATGGGTGCGGATATAAATGGCTTAGTTCCGGTGGTGCATATGACGGGGAGCATCCACGGGGAAAGCACTGCAATTACACCAAATTACTAGTGTAAACAAGACTCCCGCGTCCCCTGGTGCCACTGATGCGGGTCTCTCCTCGAAAGCGGCAGCAGTGGGATCCCTAGCCCGGAGCCTAAACACAGTCGTTAGAAGCACCTCCAATCTCATCTGGCCTCTTTACTGGCTCCTATCAGATATTTGTTGCTTACTCACTGGTGTCCCATATTGCCCAGTCGACATTTTCATTTTAACTGGTTTTAATGATTCTTGAAGCCTGAGTAGGGCTGCCTGTAGAGTCGCCATGTTCATAATGTGTTTATGCTTCCACTGTGGAAACCCGGGCAAGTCGCATCTCACGGGTATCTGTGTCTTAACACCCGTGTGCTAGTTTGATGACCACTATATCTAACTGTGATCTGCTGATGAAACGATTTAGAAATAAATTGGCTCACTATACTGAAATCTTGCAAACCATTTTGCTTTATCTCTTGCCAGGAAAGCAGGCACCAATTTCCTAGCTTCTTGTGAGAAAGGAGGATAAGTATTTAGGTGCTTTATTTAGTTAAATGATTAAACCGGTGATGCATGGCTCTGTCTGGTTCTTAATTGTTCTTCAGATCTCTTTGGGGAGCACATTTTATTTCCAAGGATAAAAGATTACCTCTGTGTCAAGGCTCGGTCCAAATGCTGCTTGGGGATGTTAATACGTAACAGATATTAGGTCATTAACATGAACACCCGTGTTATCTCGACGCCTGTGCCATTGTTTTCACCAAGAAATACCACCGTTTTCATACAGGGAATGGTGCTGTCTCAATAGCTGTTTTTAACCTGACTGTGATTTTAACAAAAGAATTGCTATGCTGCTAACTGCCGGGCCAGGCGGAATTCAATTCATGGATTTACTGTGTGTTACTATGATAGTAGACCAGAGGCAGACAACTGAGGATCAATAGTCTTGCTTAATGACTGCTTTTAATTGTTGTCAGTAACAGATAAGAGCATGAATCCCCCCCCCAACACACACCCCCTTTCCTTTTTCTGTAACATAGGGAGAACTGGCAGACTGCTCAGAGAGAGTAGGGGAGAGAATCAAAGCACAACCCCTGGCGTTGTGATCTTACACTGCCATCCATAACAATGACATTAATGGATGTTTTAATGATGATTGCCTTTTATTTTCATACTCTGGTTAATACATAGTAGAACACCTTCCAAACAATGAGTGATATATTTGATCAGTTTGTCCCATAATGTTGTAGACATCAGCTAGTGATTTATGGGTGGTCAAAAACAATTATATATAATTATATATAAGGGTTATAGCAATTTTAGCTTGGTAATCTTCTAACTTCTTCACTCTGAAACCGGTTTCTTACTTGGTCTGAATATTTTACGGTATCGGAGTCCGAAACTTCATCCACGCGACACGCAGTCTTCGCTTCAGATAGAGGCTTTAACTCCGCAGCAGAGCTATACTTATGAAACTCTTGTTTCTGAGGAATTCCAGGCATAATTTTAGAAACGGTTGCCGTGGGGACGCTGTGGTACCTCCATTGACCTTCCGTCTTTTCTTACAGTTTCATGAAGTGCCGGTCCGGGAAGCAGGACAAGCGTGGGACACAACAACTCAACATCACGTTGGAGGCCCCCAGAAAGGAAGGGGAAAAGAGTTACTTTTCAGGGTCCAGCTGATTGCCTTAATGATCAGAAACATAATGCATGATCGAGTCACCGTAATTAGAGACCTACTGTATCAAGACTCATCTTTTTTCCTCAGATGTGATGCAGTGTGTTTTAGGGCAGATATTTTAATACTTCGGAGAGAATAGTATGGTTGTCAAATGTACTTTTGCTATCAGCTCCATTGTTACTGAACCAAACTAAAGATTTCTGCCATCTTTTGGTGGCAAACGGTTTTGTTTTATTTTGTTAACCAAATACCACTGACTTAAGTGGAGCTGCTGAATGAAAAGTATGTGTATTTGTTTTTAATTTATATCCATGATTTTGTTGGTTAAATTTCACTGAAAAGGAAGGTTCTTCCATGACTTTGCATTGTGTACAGATGATCAGTGCTACTACACCTATTTAATTACTCATAGGAACTTCTGTTTTATGTGAGTTAGTGTGTGCGTGCATTTGTGTGTGCATGCGTGTGACTGAATTTGTGCGTTCAGTGACGTTTACAGTGTTGTCATGGGAATAGCAAGGCAACGCATGTGATCACAGACAAGCTCACAAACACGTAGACATACTCACACACAAAACAAACACCTAGGAAACACAGAAATAACACTGCCAGTGTTAAGCACAGTGCTGAATTTTGCATTAATAACATTTATCATATTATAAATCCCTGAAAATAATAAATTTCTTTTAATGATGTAATGGACAAAATGGTTTATGTTTGAATAAACCATTTGCTACAATCTGATATACCCACTGAGTGATTATTATTCCTGGCACCTGATTGGAGGTGAAATATTTCAGAACAATCATGCGTAGAACTTGAATTTGAGTATTCAATGTCTGTCAGAAATGCAATTGCAAATTCAGATACTATATACTATAATCGCATACTGCAATGTTCAACTTCATAAACAATGTTAACTTGAGACAACATTCACACATTTCTTCTCTTAAGCAGCTTTAGAGAAAAAAATGTTTGGTCGTAATACTGAATCAGTGGATGTCCTGTACACTTGGAAGATGTGCTATCGCCCTACGCATTTTACTTAGTTTATCCAATTAGAATAAATAAACAATAAAACACTTAGAAAAATATGTGCCACCCCAACCCCCAAAAAATCTCACTGGCTTAATATATTTTGGTGAATATCAAAAAAAGCCATGTGTTGGAAGATGTGTTTTGTGTACTATTAGAGTTATACAATATATATAGTGCACTAGCTTAAGAAGGTATTGTTGTAGAAAAGTACTGTTCTCTAACAGTACGAGCTAAGACAATTAGTTTGTGTCTTTATCAAATTTTCAATGGCTAGTGATTGAAAATCAGTTATTCTGACAAAGGAACTTAAATAGGTAGAATCAATAAACAGTAAATTCAACATCATTCTCCCTAAAATATGTTGTACTTGTGCACATAAAATGTCACTGGATCGACCATTATCCTCTTCAGTAAAAACCTTGCTAAATGACTACTTTATATTTTATTTTATATTTTAGAATGACCGGGGGGATTCACCCCAAAATAACCAAAGGCTACTAGAAAGTATAAAAAACAACAAATGACTTGTTATTTTCTTTAAGGAGAGACAGAACTGGAAAAAGTTACAAAGGAAAATCTTATATACAAATAAAGTAAAGTCACTTGTGTTGATGAGCATATGCACAATGTAACTAAATACTGTTACGATGATACGATGAAGGTGATCCTTTGCAGTTACCACAATCATGTTACAGACATCACAATAAGAGGAGAAGCAAATGACCTCAACACTTAACCGCTTGTTGTGTCATTGACTTACAAATGGTAACGATAGCGTGCTGATGGGTAACTCAATGAAAGTGATATCAACCCAAAATTATTTATTGTTGAAAATCTGAAAATGTTAGACATCTGAAAACATATAGTTTTGTATTACAGAGAGATGTGTAATATTAATATTGTATCCTTCCTGGTGTTCCAGAGTTCAGAGGGACCCTGCCATCCTTCAATTTTGCATGTTTTAATTTTAACGGTGTCCAGATCTAAGATGTATTTTTGTTATTTATTAGGATGTTACCATGAATTTTAGGACACCCTAATTTCCCTTACCTATTTTCTTATTTTTATTATTATTATTTTTCTTTTGTAAGGCAGTCATAATTAGATCGGATTTTCTATATTCATATAATTTTGTAGGCAGCAATATGAGATGTGATGGAAAAACAAGAAACCATGTGCAATGTTAAATTAAATCCGTAAATATATTAAAGGAAAACAAAAACATTCCAGACTGTTCTGTGTCTTTCAGCAGCAAATCCGCAAAATCCTCACCCTTTTTTGCCCCTTTATAATTTCTAGAACTGCAAGATATTGGTGCTGTTTTTGATACACAATACCTAAGACAGCAGTGTCAAATGTCATTTAAATATTTCAGGCAGGCTCTGTGCCTCGTAATTAGCGAATGTTGGGTGGGCAGCCAGTTGGGCTCCAATAAAGCGCTAGCATCTGACTCTTTGCATCTTAATATGCTACACTTTTGATGCCTGTTAATGTGATTGAATGATTGATTTATCAATGAATTTCCACAATGAAACATTGTTTAAAAACCAGAGCATCGTGTCCAGCCAGCAAGGTGAGACTATTGCAAATGCAGAAGTACTCTAGAGCAAGAGCTATTTTTGAGTGTAAGCTAAAGGGATGCCGGTTTATCATAGAGTGCATTTCCCACTGTCTTTATGGTGTCCCGGGGCAACTGAGCATTACCTTGAGAATAATGGGGGCTGGTGCAGTTTACAGGGCTGATCACAATGACCAGGGGGCAACTGTCGCTGTCACGTGGCCACCGTAACACTAGACTTGTCATCGGACGATGGATCACATTGTTGTGGACGTTGGCCCATGCTTCTGCTGCCCAGGTGCACAGTGTCCTGGCACACGGTACCGAAGGAGCCCAGACGAAACCCGATGCCTAGAGGAGCGTGACAGCCTGACAGCAAATGGAAAATTCAAACAATTTGACACCCGGTCTCTGAATCTTTACACCACGGCAGGTGTGTGACCTGCATGCAGAGTCTCGTAGACTTTCGAACCCACTGCAAAACCACCAGAAACAAACAAACAAAGAAAAGAAAAGCAGCCAAGAACTTAAAGCATTGGGATTCTGTTAATAAAACAAAATTGACGATTTTTTTAACTTAAGGCTTTTAAGTCTAGTTTTATGACAAGACTTAAGTAATGTAAAACAAATTTAAAAATAACTGTGTGCATCACGTAATGAGTTTCAATAATCCAGCTGGGAATACAAGTATGTGTCAAATGTTTTTGCACAATCTTTTGGCCCAGATTTTCTACGAGGGCGTCTCTAGCCTGCAGGACTGCTCCCTTGTTTATGTGGGTGACTGATGAGTTCCGATATAGAGCTGCCTGGTATTTGATGGGCTGTCCACGTCACTCTGGCTTCAATACAAACCAGCATTTGTCCTTGGGGTTCATTTCCAGTTACCGCCGCTCAAACGAATTCTGTACTAATGAGACAACCATGGATATAAATTGCCCCTTCCCATAAAACAGGTAATTGTCATAATAAGCATAGAAAGAGCTTAATTTTGTTACTGTGTGTTTGTAGAATTTTGATTTGTCACAGCCTTAACGCTCATTTTCCTCCCTCTTTGCCTTGGTAATGGTTTTCCCCCTAATGGCTTTGTGGCAATTAGCATGCTGTTGCAGTTCCATCAGTGTCAAGGCTGTGAGTCGCGTTTTTTTCCCCTGCATTGTGGACAGGTAAAGAAACTACCCCTGCCAATTTATCACAAGGCAAAGTCTGTCGATATAGGTCTCTCTCAGATTCATCTGCCCCCCTTTCTGTGATCTTGGTGGAGGTACGCTGGATCAAGAGCACTATGGAGATACGTACCACCATTAGCTGCAAACAGATGTGCATGCTTGTGTAGTTTTTTATGTGTTCTCATTGCATCCAACTATCGTAGGCTGTTAGCACTTTTAAATTGCAGCCGGCAGGGTCAGAGTCCCATTTAACAAGCGATCGCTGCTTCTTGCACCACTGGGTAAAATCGTGGCACCCCTCTCCATGTCCTCCACTTCTGCCTTTTGTCATACATGTGCCTTAAACCTGTTTATCGCTGAAAAGATCATAATAACAAATAGGGCCTGTTCTGGGGAATTATTCTGTGGGTGGCTGATCTCTGAAGTCTGTCCATTCTGGCGATTAAAAAGCTCAAAATCTTAATCACGTATTTTAGCATGTTTCTTTTTTTTTTTGTTTACGTGTGAAAAGCATTCTCCGACACATGCATATGGTTTGGTACTGTGTTCCACCTATACATGGTTGTATTTAATTTATTTTGGCAAACATGCGTGTTTGAGAAAGCAGGAGCAGTCAACCCCTAGAGTAATTGGGGGCTAAGGGCCTCGTTCAGGGACACAATGGTGACATCACTCTGCTGATGCTGGGATTCGAACACAGACACAGCAGCCTAACCCCCCCCCCACCACCACCATCTCCATGTGTCCTTCCTCCACTTATCTGTGTCTATGAGGTTCATGTTTGTGTCACGTGACTGATCCACCACACAGGAATTGTCATGTAGGTGTATATAATGAAGCATCTTATCGTCCCAGCTGTGTTTGCTGACCGCAGCGCCGAGGATGTCTGCGGAATGCGGAAGCAGCGGCGCTCGTGGCCGTGGGAGAGGGCGCCATGGTGCGCTGCCGGCGAAATGCACTTAGTGAAGTGTGAAGCGAATTCTTACTCGTTGTCATGGTAACTGCCAGTACAGATCGTCTACAGCGGAAAAGAAATCTTAGTCAGGCCAGTTTGATTCCAGCGCCATCGAGGCTTTAGGGGATTACGTGCCTCTTCGTTGTGAGACTATATTTCTGCATTTTTTGAAAAAAAAAAAAAACACGTGTGAATGTGGTATGCAGCGTACAAAATATATCAGAGGAAATGCAGTGACCAGCAAAAGCATCACAGCCAGCAAACAGATCAGCTGAAGAAAGCCGGATGAATTAACCTGTTATGCTTTATTAACACAATGCAGGTTCTGTTCTCAGAGAACATACGAAACAGCCTTGAATGTGTTCTGAATGAGACTGAGATCACTTTCCCTACTCAAAGGAGCAGTTTTGTAATTTCAGGATCTGAACCATATCTAAACCTTATCATTAGCCAATGATATGTTACGAATCAGTGAGTGACAGTGGAGAGGGCCACTCAGCTCTCAGCTGGGGCCAGTGCCCAATGTGGCCCCGCCCTTGCATAAAGATCCTTCTCAGGCCTGATGGGTTTGCACACATGTGCAGGTGACCATAGTGCCTTCTGCTCTCAGGGTGCCGTGATGTGGGACCTGGACTGAGGTTATCGCATCACATTCAGCCCTTCCAAGGAGTCAGTGAGGTTGACAGAAGCAGGGAGGCAGTGTACAAAATACGGGGGGCTTCGAGGGGGTCCGACACCCCCGATTAACCCATGAGACCCCCTGAAAGCCTCAAAAGAAAAATTTTAAGGGGGTCTCAAGATCAGTATTGTGCAACAATAGGGAGATAGGGACCCCCCCGAATATTGGCGGGTATTTCGCACACTGCAGGGAAGATATACAGTATTTCACTAAACAGCATTGAACTAGTAAACCTCACTGCTCCTTGTGCCCCAGAACACCATCAAAAGTAAAATAGCATGAAAATGAACCTTTTCATTTGCACAAGTCCACTGGAATGTGTTTAGATATCTCATCATGCTAGTTTTTAATGAATTCACTCACAAATAGGGGTAAGGGCAAAGTTTGGGGTCTGGGCACAGGGTCAGCCCAAACCCTGGTACCCCAGGGGGGGGTTAGGACCTTGCTCAAGGGCCCAATGGGGATATGACCATTCTACAAAGCATGGGATTCAAACCCATAAACTTCCGATCACAGCGTTCCAACCTACTGAGCCACACCCTAATCGTGGTTCAGTTGGGGGCTTTTTAAATAATAATGGTGAGTGAGGTACAGCACACAGGTTGGAGGTTCGAGTCCAGGGATGCTAAGAATTCGCTGTGTCTTCACACCACTGCAGGTCACAATGCAACATAAAGCACCTGTAGCCTCCTGCTGTGAAACAATGCCACCAATTACAGAATAATGCGATTTACTCTGTGAAGCGTTTACATTTCCATACCATCCATTCCCAGACTGCTTATACAGCACAGAATTGCGGGAATTCTTTTGCTAATGGGCATTTTTGCCAAAATAAAGGCATAACATTCGAAAATCAAATCCTCATTAATAAAAAAAAAATGTTTAAACGTCTATAATGGTATCTTTTATCACACGGAGCACTTTAATTCTTCAGTTGTACCGCCTATGATATCCACACGCGTGTAGAGGCGCAGGCCCGCTTGTGTGGGCGGGTCACAAGGAGAATGAGCCTTTGTTTTTTCTCTGGAGTGGCTTCCAATGAGAGAGGAGGAGGCATCTGTGAGTAACATGCCGGGGGGTGGGTGATGATGCGGGGGTGGGTGATGATGCGGGGAGCGGGCTGACGGTCCGAGCCCACGGGACTCCCTGACTGGGCTGGGCTGTCAGGCTTACTTCTGTGATCACAGTGAAACAATCAGGGGGCTGTACGCACTCTCAGCTAATCAGCTTTTTAATGTGGAGAACCGGAGAACAGGGAAAACAGGAAAACGAACTGTTACCGTCTCATTTTCTCACTGTATCACACTGGATGTACGCCAAACAGGTCAGGCCAGAACACTTTTTCCATGGCCGCAGACTGCAGCTTTTTTCCGGGGGGGATCCCAGGACGTCCCCCTGCCAGCTGGCAGATATAATCCATGGAGCGTGTGCCCAGTTTCCCCTGGGGCCTCCATGCAGTAGGGTGTGCCGGGGATATCTTCCTTGGGTGGCATCCTGGTGGCATCCTTATAAGATGCTCATGGCTCCCCGTGATTCGAAAGAGCAGCGCCTCTCTTTCGAGGCTCACCCAGATCTCCGAGCTCCGTCACGGAGAGTGAACCCAGCAACCTTGCGGAAAAAACCTCATTTCGGCCACTTGTACTTCTGACCTTGTTCTTTTACACATTTCCCATACCTTTATAGGTGACCGTGGGGACATAGACTGCAGGGTAAACTGCAAACCTTACACTTATCACCATGGAACTCCTTGGTGCCTACAAACTGCAGTTACCTATTTGACCTCCCTGTCAATCCAATCTCTTACCGTCACTTAATCACCTTTACTGCAGACTCT